GCCACCGAAAGCTCCTAGGCAACGAAATCGGACTGCCAGCCACGATGTATGTACAAAAAGGGGATGATGGTTGGTCTGCCATCGAAAAACAAGCCACGGCAGAGCAACATCACGCGAGGAAAAACTACCTAGACGACTAAAAGGCGTCATCGACCCCCCCCGCTTCCCTGTTCGTCACCTTTCCCGTCGTCTTCGTCTTCCGAGGGGCCTGTGCCCAGCCAATCCACCTTCTTCGCCTCCATCGGGGAAGACAGCGTGGCGTCGTGTGAGAACTTCACACCGATGGACGCCCAGTCGGGAACATACATTGGAGGGTCGATCAAAGTGATGGGGGGACTCGCCAACTTGTCGGTGATTACGGTCGCAGCTTGCATGATGTGTCGACGTGCGTCGAAGCAGCGATGCATGGATGCGACGAGCGTCGGCTTCGCCGTGAGTTGGACGAAGACCCAGGCGTCGTAATGCGCGCGATGATCGTCACCCGCCATTCGCATGAGCCACACGGTCGCCGCGAGCATCATCCGCATCGCGTCGACCATGGTCTTCAACCTTTCGTGCGATACACGCCCGCCGTCTGTCGCCTCCGCAATGATCACGGCGCTTGTGAAAGCCCCCACCAGTCGCTGGATGCTCGCCTCCTGATAAGCCGCCAAGCCGTCATCCTCGTGCATGTCTTCGACGTCGGCGCCCACGAACCACAAAGGCAGCTTCATATCCATGTCGAGCGTGTGGTGGACGACCATCGGACTCACACAATAGCGCCAGTCCTCCCCCATCCACATCGCGCGAGCGATGTCGGTGGCCGCGTGGTTGAGTGCGTACTGGTACGCCGCATGGTACCCCCTTTGCCTGTTCTGAGACTTGAAGACCCACCCATGTATCACCCGCAAAGCGATCCCCTGAACCTTCAACGCCCTCTCCTTTGCAGCATTTAACTCCGACTTGTCCGCGATCTTGTGCTGCGGGATGCTGTTGTGAGGCAAGACGATGCTGCGTCGAATGGGCGGAGGCTGCTCTCCCCGCGCCACAGCCACAAGATAACCGCGCGCCTCCGCGATCAACTTGACGATGGCAAATCCCTCCCTCTCGTTCCAGAAGAGGAGGTCATCCACCTACAGCTTCGCCGCCGCCTCCATTCCTTCCCGCGTATTCCGCTGGCGCAGCCTGTTCACCAATGCGTCGTCGTCGTCCCCCTCCCCCGCGACATCGCCTGCCTTC